CAAAAATAGCCAAAAATAACGTTAACTAAACTAATAAAATGTAACTTGAGTCGTGCTTAAAAACACCGTCCTAAGAAACTATTTCGTGAGGTTGAAATGTTTTTCTAGAATTAAACAAGCCTTCTTCTTATTTATAACAAGAAGGATAAGAACTTTAGCAAGCGTCGGTTAAATCCAGCAGAGAGGGAAAGAAGGAGAAGAAGAGAAGTAGAGCAAGAAAGCTGGCAGGAAGGTCTCCACTATCAAGTGTTGATATGTCTCTAAAGTGGGAGCACAACTGCTATTTATAGGCAGCAGAAAGTGTATGTTGGTGAGAAATAATATCTGATAATATAAAAAAAACGTGGCTAATTTTCTATGAAACTGAAAGTAACATTTAATTTATTCCGTGTAACCGAAAGTAACATTAAATTTATGTTAACAGAGATAGTAATGTTAAAAGGGAACGTTATGAAATGTACCAGACCTTCATAACCGATGAAATAAAAGTTTATCTTCTCAAGAAAGAGTCAAATTTTGATTTATAAAATATAAAGTAAAATTTATTCTTGATCGTAGTACAACTCACTTGGGCCGCGTTTAACCCACGTGCTGGGAGGGGGGGGAATCCGTCAGTTTGTACTGAAATAGCCCAATTCAACTTCTCTCTCATGCGTGTGAGCCCACACTAGTTACCAATTTAACACAAGTCCAATAACAAACTGCGCATTATAAATGATGAGAAGTCCCTTTAGTTTTTTGATATTGGACAAAATCTTTTGAAATATCTCTTTTATTTACAACATGATCGTGGGTGTCGGATGGTGGCAGTAAGGTGGTGGTGGTGGTGGTAGAGAGTGATGGGTGGTGGTGTATTTTTTTTTTTTTTATATGTGGAGTTACTTTTGATATATTATATGGATATGGTGTTTTTGGAGTTGTTTTTGTTTGTATATTACTGTAATATTATATATGAAAAACTTGTTTTTCAAAAATTGAGAAATCCAATCAGAAATTTGGACAAATGGCTTGGAGATACTGTAGCTACATTTGTTGTTTGTCCATTTCCTAAATTCCATTTTAGGTGTCAAATTTGTATGGCTGCTGAAGAAATAACTTCAGTAATTACCAGATTCTCAACTATTTTTCAGCAATCCTTTTAGAAGTAGTAAATATATGCATTTTGCACTGACTTAAAAACTAAGAGAGCGGCAAGTCAAGCAACTAAACTCTTCAATCAGAGGGCATATCTGTTTTCCTTTTAATAAATGTTAATATTAACTTTTGGTGTCGGAAATGATGACTCCATTAAAATTTTATGCATTATTGTTTATCACCAAGTGCGTGCTCATTTGTCACTGGTCAAAGTTTAAATCTTATTATGAGGTTTATCCTTTTCTGATTTGTCACCGGATCTGGTCGTGCAATCTGCGCAAGGGGGAGGAGGAGGGCGGCGAGGGAGGGGAAGGCCAGCGAGAGGGGGCGGCGTTGAGGAGAGGATAGGGGGAGAGGGGAGGGGAGGAGAAGAGAGAGGGAGGAAGAAGGAGAGGGAGAGGGAGAAGAGAAAGGCAAAAAAACTTTTGCAGCCGGCGCTGGTCAACAGCTGAGGTTCCGGCGCTGACGGCCGGCAAGTAGTGAGGTGAGGGAGAAGAAGTGCAGAGGAAAGAAAAGGAAAAGGAAAAAGAAAACAAAAAATATATATTTTACATCTTAAAATTTTTTTTTACAACTACTACAATAAATTATAATAAAATTTTAAAAAAATATCCAAAAAAAACTCATTTGCTAAATAGGACATGATATTTTGATATTGTTTTAGCTCAGATATATTACTTCAGAGACTTGATCATAAAGGGTAGTGAAATTATCTGAGATTGGGTAACAGAGGCAGAAGTTTAGAATAGGTTTTCTAGGAGAGATTGGCTCCGGAATGAAAGTCAATAGTAAGTCAAGGTCAGCTGTCCTTTCACGGGTAAACTGTAAACCGTGAAGACTGAAATCCATAATGTTTTCTGATTTTACTGATCCTCTCTTTTGATCTTTTGAGTGCTGTCATACAGAAATTTAGAAATATCAGCATATGTAATAAACTAAAACAAAAAAGGATCAAAAGCAATAGAAAATTTGTTCCGTCCACTCATGAGAAGGACAAACCATAGTGTGCTTGGATAGAAAGTTATTTGAATTTTTTTTGGAGCAATACTGTACTTTTTGTTATATAATATATGCAAGATAAAAAATTAATTAAAAAAATTTACAAAATACCAAGGTTTTGAAACCCAAACCGTTCGTTAAACTGAAAAAATGAATGGATCACAGGTCATTAGTTCAATTGTTGGGCTAACCGTAATTGACTCATGATGTCATAAATATGTCATTAATAATTATTAATATTTTTAAAAAATTATTGTATATAATAAAAATAAAATGCAACAATTGAGTAAATGATAATATTTGATTACACTATTAAGTTTGTCATCTTAATTAAAACATAAAGACATTTTAAATATATAGACCAAATTTTAAGAGTAATTGACTAATATTTAAAGTTGAAAGATGTAGACAATGAACATAAACATTTTGTTAAGAGTACAGGATATTCATTGATATTAAGTTTTTCATAATTTTAAGATCAAGATGTTAATATTGCAAGACGTTTTTATTTTTGATATATTAGTGACAAGAAGTTTTTATGTAAAGGAAGTTGGAGGAAATTTTGAAAATAAAGGAAAAATAGGGAAAAAAGAAAGGAAAAGTGAGTTGTGATTTTATCTCATTATTGGCTAATCTAAGGCCTTGTTTGGAAAGCAATTTTCAAAAGAAAAATTGCTACCTTTTCCGTGAATATATTTTTCAATCAGTTTTTTATCTCACATATATTAAATCGTTACAATAATTTTTCTACAAAAAATTCAAAAAAATGCAATCCAAACATAACCTAAGATAGAGTGCATGAAAATGGAAATGTGCGCCAATCTTCATGTTATTCAACCGCCATTCACGAGAATAAAAAAAAGTCAAATCATTAGCTATTAGTCAAAATTGGTGTGCTGATTGCCATGAAAATAGGGTCTACATAAGTGGTTGGCTCCAATTGTCTTGAAATAGGGTCTGCATAAGTGGTTGGCTCCAATTGTCTTGACCCGAACGGTTTTAAGAAAATAGTTCCGATTTGACAGTTGACTGATTGAACACTCGATTTTGTTTTCTCCGATTTGCATGAAAGAAAGGTAATTTCTGTAGTGTATTCACAAAGTTGGAAGACAGGTGTGGAAAGCAAATAATATGGCAAAGAAGCCTCCACGTTGCACCTGACAAGTACGGACGACGAAAGGGAATAATTCCAGAAAAGGAAGTGATGACCTATAACCGCGGTTTGGACATTGGAAATGTAGCGTACTGCACAAGCTGGAAATGCATTGGGGTGAAACGGAATTAACATAAATATAATGGGTTAAGGAGTAAAAATAAACCCGTAACTTTATTAAAACAACCCCAATTTTCAACTCTTTCATCCATAATAACAACGGAATAACCCATTTTCGTTGAATATTTAAATGCATTTTTGAATAAAGAGCCAACTCTTTATGGCTTTCCTGCACTACAACTAAAGATTAAATCCATTTTGAGGACCACTATTATATTCAAACGGGTGTCTCAGTTTAAAAGTTTCAGCTCCCCTTGGGTTTTTTCCATTACAACAACATAATACCCAAGGTGCCATAAAGACAGACTGATTTATCGGATAAAATGAAATTAAACCCGTTGGTGAGTAAAAGACCAGCTCTTTGTGCCTTTCAACCATTACAGTGACAGAGTACCCAACGTGCCTTAAATACAAATGTTGGGTTATGGGATAAAATTTAGTTAAAACGGTTATCTTATAAACGACCAGCTCTTTACGGCTTTCATCCATCAGACAGTCAGGAGAACCCAATTTCCTTGAATAAAAAATTATTTATCGGAAAGCAAAAAAATTAACACGCCGGTGTCGGTTCTGTTGTATAAAACACCGAAGACGAAGCGTAAGCAGTACTAAACAAAGCCACGGTGGGGCCACCGAAGAGAAAGCGTATTAGGTACTAAACACAGAGCCATGTTGGGGCCGCGGTGATGCGTGTGTTTGAAGACAGGTGGCGAGGTTGGAATGGAAGGCAAAAATTTGGTAAAGAGGTGGTGTCTACTGGCATAAATTCAGGCGCAGGCGGTGACGGTAGATATATCTGAGGAAGGCCCTTCCGAAGCTGTGGTGACAGACTGCAGCGGCGTGGAACAGAAGCAGAGAAATCAAAGGTGAGTACTTTTGTCCATAACTTTGAAAAATGGAGTAGAATAACGAGTAAAGTACGTCTAGTAGGGTGATTTCTACAGTTCTTGTAAGAGGCAATGATAGAGGAACAAGGAATACGAAATACGGGGTGTAAGACCCTGCGTCTTCGAACAAAGATGAAACGAAACCGGGAAATTATCGTAGTTTGTTTGTGCACCGAGATTTGTGTACGTAAGTAAGAAATGTTGGTCCTCTAATTTGTATTAAATTGTGTAAAGGAAATTAAGCAGAAATGAGTGAAGACGTGAAGAGGACGTTGTAACAGGACTAAAGTCTTAAAACAGAGTGATTTGGATGGCCGTGTGGACATCGATAATGGCCCCCATACTGCATTGCGAATGCTTATGTGAAAAGAATTAAAGAAACACACAGTAGAGGTTGAGTTTGTGGGTGTTAATGAAAATGCATGTCGATAGTGGTATTTTATGCTAAAGGTTGATATAATTGCATCAGCCACACTTATAAAAACTGTGTATATGAATGTTAGAGTAATGTTTATCGTCTGCATTTTGTGAAAGTTGTGAGGTAAAGTATGGTTTGTTAACTGAAATGATCGTGTATATATGTTTTGTTCCACTAGTAGACGAGCAGTATTTATGTTACAAACGAAAGCATATGGGGAGGCTGAAAAAAAAATGTTAAGCAACCATGGTTAGAAAAAACATTGAACAACCACACAGGGGTTGTAACTATGGGGCAGGATGGGGCGCTTAAAACTCATGACATGGTACAGGAAACAGAGAACGGAAAAATGGGGTTGGATGTTTGCGGCAGGTTAAGGTCATTTGACCTTAACCAAGAACCTGAGTGTGACCGAGACACATTCATTGAAGAAAGCGGTGGTTCAATAGGAGGACACGAAGATGAGGAGGCAAATGAATTGGTGGGCGCAATAGGCGTGGATGACGTAATGAAATTAACATTTGACACGGAAGAAGAAGCTTGGGAATTCTATAATTTGTATGCGAAACTAAACGAATTTGGAATTCATAAAAGTAATGCCAAACGAGATGCAGATGGCATTTCAAGATTTAGAAAATGGGTATGTTGCTGTGAAGGTTATAGGAATGAAAAGTGGTTTAATTATGAAGACCGGAAAAGAGAAGCAAAACCAATCACAAGAATCGGGTGTGGGGCTTGCTTTCGCGTGAAATATGACATAGAATCGGTAAAGTATGTGGTGACACGTTTCATTATGGAGTACAATCACCCGCTGGCATCAGAGGCAAATGTGCAACACATTAGGTCGCATAGAAAAGTGAGTGATGCAGAATATGCGCAGGCAAAAAGTCTAAAGTTGGTTGGGGCCAGAATATGCCAGATAATGAAACATTTTGTTATCAAAGCCGGAGGGTATAGTAACGTGGGATTTTGCATTAAGGATTTGTATAACCGAATGGACGAGGAACGTAGAAAAGATATTTTTAATGGCGATGCAGAAGGGGCACTTGGGTTCTTGGCAGCGAAGAAGGATGCCGATGACATGTTCTTTTATAAATATCATGTAGATAACGAAGGAAGATTGGCAAGGTTGTTTTGGGCAGATTCTAAATCTCGTGCGGACTTCAGTGTATTTGGAGATGTATTGGTGTTTGATACAACATACAAAACAAATAAATACCGCAAGGCACTAGTTGTACTTGCAGGGGTAAACAACCATTTGAACAGTACTATTTTTGGCTGTGCACTGCTATCAGATGAGAGGATTGAAACATATGAATGGGTGCTAAGTACATTTGTAGAGGCTATGAAAGATAGAAAGCCAGTAGTAGTGATGACAGATGGGGACAGTGCAATGCGAAGAGCCATAAAGAATCTTCTCCCGGATGCTTGTCACAGGCTATATTCGTGGCACTTGCATAGAATTGCACGGAGTAATATTCGCTGCGAGGAGTTTAATAACAGGTTCTATAACCTGATGGCGAGAAAGTGTAGCACTCTTGAGTTTGAGGATCGGTGGGCTAGGTTGGTTAATGAATGTGGGGTGGTAGAGAATGAGTGGGTGAAGAAGTTGTACCGTAGGAGAAGGTTATGGGCAGAGGCCTATTTACGCGGTCATTTTTTTGCAGGTATGAGAAGTACTCAAAGGTGTGAGAAAATGAATGCTTTTTTGAACGAGTACTTGAATGAAAAAATGCGACTATATGAATTCGTTAGAAGTTTTGATTTGGCAATAGCATGGCTTCGACATACTGAGAGCAAAGCAGTTCACACAAGCGAAAACACAAAACCAGTCTTAACCACAATCCTGCCCGAATTAGAGGGGAGCGCAGCGGAGGTGTTTACAAGGAATGTGTTATTCATGGTGAGGAAGCATTTGAACAGGCAAGAACTTCTAATTTCTGAGGGCTGAAGCGAGGATGGAGGGAATCGTACATATTATTACTCGAAATATGGTGGACACGAAGTAAGTTGGAGGGTGGATTATGATAGGTCAATGGAGAAGCTAATATGCTCTTGCATGAAATTCGAGTCAAAGGGGATTCCTTGTACTTACATGTTTCGCGTGATGGTGGTAGAAGGAATGAACAGGATCCCAGAATCATGCATTTCGAAGCGGTGGACAAAGGGAGTTCACTGTAGTAAGAATGGAATGAAAGCATTTGTTGCAGACGAACAGCTGACACAAATGGCCAGATATGGCACTTTAAAGTCCAGCTGTAATACTGTGTTACTATGCCTCCTACATGGATGATGCGTTTAATGACCTGCAACAAATGTTTGACAAGCATTCTGTGGACCTAAAGGAGAAGTGGATTGATAGGGGATATGGGGGAGATGGATTTGCAATGGATTCAAGAGTGAGGAACGATAGAAGTAGAAGAACATTCGGGCTGTTAGATCCCAGGGTGTCCCGGTCTAAAGGTGATCACAAGCATGCAGAAGCAAAGAAGAAAAGAAAGTGTGGTCATTGCAGGTACTATCGGAATTGCATACGTAGTAATACAGTAGCTAATTGATAAAATACATGAAGTGGACAGCGAAGGTAATAATGAAGAAGTGGGTATTTTTCGTTCTTATTAACAACAGTAGTAAATAAACACATAATTAAAAGTGCATACAAAGTATACAAAGTTATTGACAATGCAAGAAAGTTGAAGTGGTGTAATGTTAGCACTGTGCTCGGTTAACGTGATTACTTGCAGTCACAAATGATTTGACATGTGATATATGGGTTGAAGATTGCAGGCAGGCCACAACCAACGAACATGCCCATACAAAAAGAATTCGTACAACACAGCAGTTGATGATGATTATATGGAAAACTGTTTGGATGACTCGTTGAAAAAATCATTTGAAATTGGTACGGGCTGGAGCGACTCTGGCGAATGGAGAGGACAAGCATTTGTACCACAACCATTCGGTAGCGGTGGAAGGGACACAGGTGGCCAACAAAGAAGTCCAGGAGAAAGATGAGGCACTACTGTTGTGATGCTTCGGTTTGCAGTTACGCAATAAATAAGGCAGGTTTTGGTGAGTAGAGGTGCAAGAGTAGTCTTTCCATGAAACAAGTACGAAATTGTAGAAGGGGAAGGGTTTGTATCTTTCCTTCGCATTAATTTGTCTTGAGCATGAGAAGGCTACAAGGTATTCGTGAATGCGGGGAAAGCTGGGTATATTGTTTAAAAAAATTTGATTCCGTTACCATTGAAATGTAAATAATGTAAGTTTGAATGTGTCATGGGCCATTGTAAGCTGTTATCACCACAGCCACTGAAAGGTTGTAAACAGTCATTGTACTGATGCAGTACCTGTTGGTAAATGGCTTTGTTGTTCTTATTTCACTGCCGTTGCGTGTGTAAATCCTATTATATATTCTTCTAGGTGTGAAATGCAGAGGTTGAAAGAGATGGTATGGTTGTGCATGGAAGTAGCAGCCGTGACGACAGACAGGTTACAGAGCAACACCGGCTTTAGGGATTGTGTTTTGTTATGTATCGGTGGGGTGAAGATTATTCAAGGCTGCTAGGTGTAGATGGGTAAGTCATTGTAGTTCCACCGAAGGGGTCATGCACAGAAGGATCACCAGATGCATGACTGTGAAGGTTGCGTCGTAAGCACTGCTGTAGCAAATACCGCTACTGCACTTGGTTAATAGGAGAGTAAGTAGTTGACAAATTGTTTATTAGACGAGCCAAACTTGTTCCTTTTTTTGTAAATACGAAATTAAGTGGAAGCATATGTTGCGCAAAATCTCTTCGTGGGATAGACGTTTTCCGAAGTGGCTACTTGGGAATCAGCTTCAGTTGCCCAGCTTTTGTAAACTGGTGCCGTACGCTGCTGCTATAAACTGCTTTTACGATTGGGCTGTTTGTTCCTCGCCTTGCTATCCTAACCAATGACCATAAGGCCCAACGCCTTTTCTTTTGCCCATCGTTCCATTCATGTGTAGGAACAGTAACTTCTGTTTCTCCCCATCTATTTTCATTGCTCACAATGCTTATGCGTCTCTTCAGTGCACCAATAACAATGGTATTATTAGTTATATGTATTATATATGTACATTAATTTATGTAATATAATTAATATTATGAATTATACTACTAATTATACATATTTACTAATAGAAATTATTAATTAGTTCGAGTAACTTTACTAATACATTTGTACCAATATATTTAATTAGCCAATAACTATCAATTACAATGTGGTTTGTAATATATTTATTAGGGATAATTTAAGAAACCTCCCCTGAGATTTCTGACACTTTCACTGGCACCCCCTGAAGTTGTCAAAATTTGACTGACCTCCCTTGCCTTTGAGTTATTGGGTCCCTTAGCTGACATCATGAAGGCCAAAATTACAAATATATGGTATGAACTTGGAATTTATTACTGATGTTGGGGTTTATTATTACCGTTTAGTCGGAGAAAAAGGAATCTACAGTGATTAATGAAGCCTAACAACAATAACACAAACTGTGAGAGTAATACATGAAGTAAAGCTGGATTAGGGAGTAAGGCACCTTTTTTGTGCCATTATTGTGGGTGCTGTTTCAGTTAGAAATGTTTTTGAAATGCCATTCAAAAAATGGTACAGTAATTTCTTATGTTAAAAAAAATGGTAGGTTATCTACGTAATATATGTAAAAAATAGTTTAAAAAGGAAATATCCCATAAAGTACCAACTCTTTATGACTTTTCTGTATTACATGAATGAAGTACCACGTTTTGTATGAACCTTTTATTATAAATCATTTAATTTTCATAAAAATTTGCAAATAAAATTCAAAAGCCGTTACAGAAACATCTTTACGAAAGGAAAACTAGCATTTTTTGAATTATTTAATATAAATGAAATATTTTAAAGTAAACAAAAAAAATTGTTTGCTATAATATACCAGTTCTTTACGGGTTTGTTCCATTATATGAATTAAGTAGTAGCTGTTTAAGAGTAGTTGACTTCGAAATAGAAGCGCAACTTTGAAATGCGCTATTTTAATTTTAGAAAATTTGTTTATATATGAAAAATTGGTTAACTAGCGCAGTGAATTCAAACCCTGCTTATGTATCGGGTAAAAAAAGTACTCCAGGTCTGCACTAAAACACCAGCTCTTTATGCCTTTTCTCCATAAATCATCCGTTTTCCCATTTTTCCACAAGCTAATTCAGGGGATGTTTCTGAAATTAGCCCTTACAATATATATGTGTATGTAAGATTAATAATTCATATAATAATAAATATGTTTATTATTATGCATATAAGGTTGCAAAATGATTTAATTTAATATCTTATATACGTTATAACTGTGTAAAATATTAGTTAATTAGTATTTATATATATTATGTAATTATAGATAGATATTTATAATTTCTTTGAGGGGGTTTACTCTCGGAAAAATGTGCAGTAGGAGCTTAGTCTCGAAAATTTGCAGAGAAAGTTGTTGAAGTGAAAGAAAAAGGGAAATGTGTCTTGTGCACAAAGTAACGAAACAGAGCTGAAAACGATTAATTTTTTTTACACCATTTGTACATTTCCAATGGAGTACAATATTTCAAGTAACTAGTTTGCACAAACTTGAACTCATATTCTTGTGTTGGAGTTGCATTCATACAAAAGGCTTTTCTGTCATGATATAAATAAGTTCGAAAAATGTAATGCATTAAATGTGATAGATTTATAATAACAACAACTTCCATTTAAATTGTTTTGTTGTAAATATTTAATTTCACTGCAAACTTCAATTGTAGGTGAAGAACAATCTGGGACAGACGAAAAATAAGAACAGGACTATAAATTAGTTGTGGGAATTATCTGTTAACTGTTAACATTTTCCGTGTTCAAGTTTAAAATTGTATCAGAATTACGCAACACACGTGGCGATTGCTCACAGCTTAGCTTTGTTGGTGGGCAGTACCAACAAGTTTGCATACTCATTCCTCCGGCTACACAACCTTGTTTGCGGTTTGGGGCCATGGGTGCTCAGTCTTTGGCATTATGAATTCCCTGACATTCGTGAGCTTTGGCTCTACCAAGCTCATCCGTAAATGTCTGCGTCCCGGCACTTGTGTTCGGACGCTTACAAACACAGGATTTTCGGCCACCAAGTTCACCGCGAAGGCAGCGTTTCCCTGTCCCCTTTTGGAGCTTCAATGCACTTTCCAAAATTACCTGTATTCGATGTAGCCTTTGGTCCACCACTTGTGAGTTGTCGGACACATTGGATGCCAAACGAAATATTTCTGCACTTTTTTCTAAGACTTTCTTTCTCAGGCCCATGCACTGAACAAGCAGGTCCTCGTACCAGTGTCTAGGCACCTAAGCGGAAACAACACAGATGGCTGTATTAATTTTACACAAATTACGCAAATTAAATGGCGGGTGAAGTACAGGGCGAAGAATGCCATACCACATCACCAACAGCACATGGAAGAGGCAACCCTATTACATCACCACCAACTCTGTGAATGCCCTCTTGCTCCAGTGATCCATCAGTTTGTATGCACAACACAGACCAGGGAGGGTAATTAATTGGATGTTTCAGTGACGGTGTTGTGGCCTCACTTAGTGGCAACTGGTCACATATATGAATTACGCACTCCTTCCCACTGGGTGCCAATGTGGAGGAAGTCATTGGTTTCATTAGCCTGCTGCACACAAACTCGTCATACGTAGCATATGGAGGGGGATCTGGGTATAGGCTTGTAATGTGCAGTCCACGAAGCACATCATGTAGCCTGTTTCCCGAAATTGTATCAGTGCTGTACATATCTGATGGCCGATGGGGAGGTTGCTTTGCACATACACCTGCATACACCTGCCTAATAACCCTCTCGTCCAGGTAGTAAAATCTTCCCATGGGGCCATCCAAAATCAATCTCGTTGCAGTTAGTTCCTTGGATTTGAGATACC